CACAGTACTGCACAATACTACTCACAGGTACTACACAGTATTACACACTGGTACTACACACAATACTACAGACAGGTACTACACACAGTACTACACACAGTATTACTCACAAGTACTACACACAGTACTAGACACAGGCACTACACAGTACTACACACGGTACTATTCACATTACTACACACTGGTACTACTTGTAGGTACTACTCACAGGTACTACACAGGTCCTGCAGAGTACTACACAAAATACTACACACATTTTGTACAAAGGACTACACAGACATTGCACAGAATACTAGAGAATACTCTAAAGTATTACAAACTTTTCCTAAAATATTTCTTGTGTACTCTACAGAATAGCGCCGCACCCCTTCAGTCCACTTCCTGTTCCTGTTGTTTCCTGTCACGTTCTAAATAAAGTTGTGTTGAATGTGTCTCTCAGGGCTGCAGCTCTCTCTGTGGATCGTCCTCGTCTGTGTTCCAGTCCAAAGCTAAGTAAGAACACGTTATCAATACCTGTTCACTTATTGATCAGTTATCAATCTGATCAATCAATCTGATGTCTTCTGTCTTGATCTGATCAGGGTGGTGATTGATGACGGGACAGGTGAGGCTCACGTCTGGTTCTCAGGTGGACTGGTCCAAACTCTACTGGGATTGGCTGATTCTCAGTGGGAGGGGCTTCAGAGAGCACTCAGGATCAGAGGTCACATCAAAGTTTTGCCCCGAGGGCGGAGCCAGGTCAGAACATTTACCTGTGTGTGTGTGTGTGTGTGTGTGTGTCTGTGTGCATGTGTCTCTCAGGTGTGTGTGTTTACCTGTGTGTGTGTCTCTCAGGTGTGTGAAGGTGAGTCAGGAGACTTCCTCCTCCACTTCTTGTTGTGTGTCTGCAGCATTGATGTCGTTTGTCAGCCCATATCCTTCACCTGCAGGAAACTGACCAATCAGAGATCAGAAGGTAATAATCACGGTGCTCACCTGTGAAACTTGTTAACTCCACCTGATTGTTTTCTCTGTTTGTTTGTGTCAGAGGTGAGACGCTTCTGTCGAGGAGACAGAGACTTCCTGAGCAGACTGACCCGTCCTCTGCAGCTCACCTGTGTCCACCTGGACACTGACC